ATATATATATATATATATATATATATATATATATATATATATATATATCATGTCGCACATCAATCTGATTAAAATAAGATGTAGGTATGAGGCTCCAATTTGTTTTTTAATATTATTTTTTTATATACATATAACCTTTTATATTATATTTATTTGTATTTTAGTTAGAGGCGAGTGGGACACAATTTTCTAAGAACTAATTAACGACAAGAAAAACCAAAAAAATCGACATATTCAAACTAAAATACAAATAAATATAATATAAAGGGTTATATAAATAAATAAATATATATATATATATATAATTGGAGCCTCATACCTACATCGGATTTTAATCAGATTGGTCGCACATATGCACAGGTCTGACAGGTATGAGTTTGACAATCAAAAGCAAGATGGCCAAATAGCGGCTGTTTTAATTTTTAAAATAATCATCAAAATCAAGCATTTCCTTCATCCCATTTCGCCATGTCTGTAACATTCTTTGGGCGATTGCAATCACGTTTTACAGTGATATTGTTCTTCTTAATTACTATGCATTTGTTTCAAGTTCTAATTAAAAATGACCGACCGGTTGCCATTTTGTTTCAACTACCCGTAATGTGGTTCCAGGGCAATATCAGATACAAGATGACTGAATCTCAATCATTTTAATGTTAAAAATAATCATAATCAAGCATCAGCTTCTGGATCCATACATCTCAGACATGTTTATGTATCGACCTATAAACAAAACTATTTATGTTAAATTTTATAACTAATGGTTATTCTAGAGCTTTGCATTGTTTTGAGAAATTAATTTGACCTACATTCATCACTTTACCTTGTCAGTCACGGTAGCTATCATTTTGTTTGGTTAATGTTTGGTTGAGTTTACGTTTGTGTGCATTTCTCTGTGCGTAATTAATGTTTAGTATATAATTTATTTGAACATGCCTTCTCGCATATATGTATAAACTAGTCTATGTAAGAATATATGAAAAACCCATTTATGCATGCGAGTCACCCATTAATGTATTGAAGTTATGTTCTGTGCTTGGTCATGAGGTAACCAGAACCAAATACAAGAGGATGAAAGTACGTTTTGGCGTCTTTATATTTTGGAATGGCTTGACCATAGCTGGTGAATACCAGTCTTGTAATCCTACGATGTGCATGTACGTTCATATGTTCAGGCGATGGAGGTTGCCACAAAGTTTGTGTCGGTCTGAAAGGAATAAATAACATACCATGTATTTGGCTTTTGAGTGCACCGGGAAACGTCCATGGCTTGTGCCTTCTATAATCATTTGGTGAATTAATTAGTCTGTGATAATACCTTTACACTTAACCCGCCCATTAGTAATTGAAAAGCTTGCTTAAGATAGCCAACAATGCCAATGATAAAATGAGGTGATCTAGCATATAGGCTCCATGTGTAAATGGAATGAGAAATAAGTACGTGATATGAACGGGATAAGGATTCGACCTTTGTCTCGGTCCTAGTTATTTAGATTGTTTTCTCACTCTTAAGGACATACCGCTCGCAAACAGACTTCGACAGACGTTCAGAAAACCAGTCTGCAAATAAAATAAATGTAGTTTTCAGAGTATACTGCTTTCAAAGCTATAAAGAAAAAATACGCCGTTTGAAATTAAATTCGTGTGAAATATTCCCTGCTATTTGTGACATTCACAAAGCTATCAGGAGAACAAATTCGATTAGAATACGCTATTTTAGTGACATGCCGTAATGTTTTTTTTTTATTTCTAAATGCCCTTACAGTGAACTCCTAATCAACAAAACTGATTCCTGACTGCTGCAACATGTTTGACATATCCACTCGCTTTAAAACAATATGGTAGTTACAATTATATGTGACATAAGATGGAAACTTGTATTTAATTTTATTCATAAAAAATATCGCGGAATATACTTGTGTTTCATTCAAATCCAAGGGGCTCTCCTAATGGATAAAGGATGGGTTTTTGCGGGCTCCTTTCATTCTTTGGCTAACATGTGTCAACTCATTTGTTTAGCCTAAGGGCTTGGTGATGGGTAACTGGGGGAATTCTGTGACGTTTTCTTCACCAATTCACGATTAGATAAGTTGTGCGTGTGCGAGGTTTTGTAAATATATTTTTCTTTTGTAATTTTCTCGTTAGATTATTTTCCCTGTATATGCTTTGGTACCTCCTCCACAATTCTCAATGTTCGTCTTGTTTGTTAATAACTTACTCAACAAAGCAAGTACAATCCGCTGTCATAATTTTGACATGTCTCTTTTTGAAAACTATCCACACTTTGTATGCATCTTTATTCATTCCCGTTCACTGAATTACCCTTTTAACAAATAAAACAGTACTTTGCGTTGCCGCAAACCCTGTTGTATTCGAGCTGAGAAACAAATCCAGTCAAATACAGATTTTGTCCTTTTTTTACGGTTTTTTGACTTTCAGAAAAAAATATAGCCACAAATTACGATACTGTAGAGCAATTAAGATACATCTAGTAGTAATTGTGTTACTGACTTTTTGGCATAGATTGTTATTTAGCATTCTTTACAAAAGACATATAAATAGGTATAAATTGCTGATAAATGGTGAGGAAAGTTGATTAAAGGTATGTCAACTTCTGCTACCATGTAAAAGTGTAGGTGAACATCCGTAATACAAAAGCATTTGAGAATATATAACTGACAAATTTCAAACATTCAACGTCTTTGAATGAAATTTATCTTCCTCCTTAGTTACTTCAACGTTCAAATTTAAACAGTGTGTATTGGTAGCAGCTAGCACTAGTTGGGAAATTCCGCTGCCACAAATATGTTTTCAGAGCGTTTACTTTCATCATTCAAACGATTCGATTTTTAAATTGAATTTCCTTTTTTATAGCTCAACATCAAAATCTTAGAGAGGGTAATATTGCGTTGAGATACTCTCACTTCATCAAATTTGATAATCATCATAAGATGTGTATAGCACATTAATGAACGTGTAATCACCTCCGAAATACTTTCGCATTTGTCAAATCTCACTCCATGCTTTGTAGTCACTATGACGCTTTGAGCTTTGTTCGGTCTATTAATGGTATCTTGACTTTAATCAATACCTTTTTCTGGTTTATCATATACTAGTACCTCGTATTGTCCGACCTCGTAACGCTATGGAAAGTGCGGCTTCAAATCGGGGCAATGATTTCCTATCGCGCCCTGCCCTGCGCTTTCATCGGTCATAACATAACGCGTCATTCAAAATTACGTCGTGTGTTTAAGGTCAGGGCGTGGTAAAATTGGTATATGAGAAAGGTATATGATAGAAAAAAACGCCGCTCTCGCAGCACGACCTCGGGCCACAAAAGTCCGAAATGGCATGCATGTTCTCTAACATAAATGGGACATTATTTCACACAATTGTGTTGCAGCTAAACTCTACCAGCATGTTTAAAGGGCGGTAGTCGTCGCGCAACGCATGCGCGACATATATGGATCTCATATAAACAAAAATGGCGACTTTGACCAGGCCCAGGTCAAACCTCATACTTGTGATTTCCATTAGAAGAGCGCATTGAATTGTGGGAAAATCAATGTTTTCAACAATAATTTCGCACATGCGCAGCGCGACGACTACCGTCTAACATGTTGCTCAAATTTTATCCTTTGAGATGGTTGAGGTGAGCAGCTGATTGAGAATGGCATCTACGTCCAGTTCACGTGTTTGGGTTTATCTTCGTAAAGGAGTTGAAAACAAACCACAATTGGCGAAGTTTATACAGGTATAGTTGCTTACTATTGGACAACCCATAGCTATCAATGTTTATGTGGTGGTGGTCGTGGTAAGAAAAGGGTGTTTACAAGTAGATCGTGTAGCACTTTAGCAAACATGGTTTATGTTTGTATTAGTTCATATATTTCCGGGTACCTCAAAAACGTATCTGCGGCTGAGTTTTGCGGGCACACATAAACCATAACACTGATGTCTGCGCGTTGATTTGCGTGTAGTTTCTGCGGGAACGCAGATGCTGTTTTGATCAAGTCTTCGTGTGCTACCGATTCTTTTGTTTTAATGCGATCAATGACATTCGTTAACCTAGCAATAAAACTTGTTTTCAGTGCTGAATACACGGAGGTGACGACAGAAAGAACTTAAGCAGAAAGCAAGGCCCATGTACAAAGTTAACCGAGCCATTATTTATTGTTTTCCTTCTTACGAATGGTACGAGTATACTGACTATTTAATAGTTTGAATGTCGGGGCCGAAAGTACTCAATTTACTGTGGTACGATGGGAAATAACTCAGTAGTTAAGGTATAGATGCAGGTTCGTGGGCACTCAGAGTATTTTTTTTTCTTACCCAGACAGTCTTGGCTAGATAGTGTTAAAATTTCGGAGCATTGTCAATGCTGGAACATACTAAAAAAATCGATTTTAAAATATAGGAAACCGAGGCATGCGTATGTGATTAAAAGTCACGAAAGTTTGTTTACGTTGCTCTTTAATTGACAAGTCACTGTTGATATTATATGCAAATGAGTTGCTGGTCTGTAAAATGACTAATTTTCACTGGGTTTAAATTTCACTGATTTACCATTTCAGGCATATTCAGTGGGTTTTAAATTCACGGTTTCGTCATTTAGATAATGCGTTTTATGCTAAATTTTACATATTCACTGTGTTTTAATTTAGCGCATTTTTCCAGTCAGCGAAATAAGCTAAATTAAAACCCAGTGAATAATTACCCCTTTTACTGCGGCGATGTGTGACGTCGTGTCCTCGACCCAGTTTAACCATAGACTCTCTTGTTTAACTTACCTCAAGCGCTATTTGTTTTGACGACGTCTCTACGAACAAAAGAACGTCTGGGCTTATTTTTTAAGCTTTGCATTCTCGGACAATGACATTTGAAGGGTGAAATACTGACTGGGATTGAATATACGGCACACATCCTGCATAACAACTTTGTAATATGAAAACAGAACATACTATATATACGCCTGGACCATTTGTTAATAAACAATTGATAAACGTTGTGTGAAAGTTTCACTTGAAATAAACAAGAATCGTGAGAGCTATTTAGATTTGAACTTCCATGGTAAACTGAAAAACACAAGTGGAGATAATGGATAATTTGCATAACCATTCACTCAGTAAGACGTTTGCTAATGCTCTTAATTAAAATGGCTGTAACAGTTTAAAATTTAAACCTATTATCGTTTTGTAAAAAGTTAAATATAGTGCATAATATGGAGATTCCGTCATTACTTTTTTACACCGTGTTTCTTTTTAATTATTTATGCCCTGCTAAATCTTACTATGTATTCAAAAAAGAGAATGCTTGTACCTATTTTCTCTATTTTAAAATAGTCCTTTGAGCATGAGAATTGTGACAGTCTATAGCCAAGACTGTTTGGATAATAAAAATCAAATAATCACTCCCAATTGCCCACGAACCAACATCTATACCTTTATTACCATTTAATATAGACTGGCCAAGCGAAATTTGGAAAAGTGGAAATATGGCGGTGAGAGTAACTCCCGCGTCAGGTAGGCAGTTTCCGTGGGACTTTGCAACACCCCCTATCCTAGACGATCCAGTGATCGTTGAAGACGCAATAATAAAGTTGCTCGGCCTACGTGACAGTTAATCAAAACACCGAACGCGGTATGACTTTGACCATGGAGGTAAACCACTCTTTGATGTTACCTTGTTGTACAGATACGTGTTTACTGTTATGTATTGAACACTGCGAGATCCCATGATTATGATATGAATATAACGTAATAACAGGACAACGAGTCGAGTATAAATACAGTATGGCCGACACACGTCGCTACTATGTCGAAATTATGAAACCCCGCAACCATCATGTGAAAGCGGCTGTGCCTGCAGGCAACTTGTGATTTTCATACTATGACACTGTTTTAAATGTTTTATATTCGTGCATACAATAAATTCTCTGTTTATAGGCAAATTTGCATCATTTAGACCTTTTTCCATTTTAGATAATCTGTTGAAAAAGCACGTACCGTGAATGCGGTTTGTAACTTGTACATTTGTAAAAAAAAAAAATGTCCAGTAAAGTATGTGTTTATTATGGCGTACACTAAAATCGGTATCTATTACGCCGGTGACCACAACATCACCTGTCTCTTTAGAATTCAGATACGCGAATTAGTCGCTGAACGGAAGTGTCAACGTGATGTTGACACCCGTGCCTGTTAATCAAAAGTAGTCTACGCGTTCAAGTAGTCTACGCGAACTCAAGTTTGTGGTCTTTCAAAGGCAGTGATTAACATCAAGCCAAGAAATGGCTTGGGTTTGTAAAATACCGATCACAATCGAACTTATTTAGGTTTATTTCCTCAGCATTAAACGTAGCCTTGCCCAGTTGACTTACTTGGCATTTTTTTGTTTTATACGATATCATTCGTATTTTATAGAACCAAGGACTGTGATAGAACATCTCATGTTGACCACAATTTAAAAAAAATATATTTATATAAAATTTCCACTTTTCAAAATATCTCTTGGCCAGTCTATATTAAATGGTTATTAAATTAACTATTGAATCATTTCCCATCGTACCACTGTAAATTTAGTACGTTCGATCCCGACATTTAAACTACTAGTATTGAATAGTCGGTTCGTAAGAAGGAAAGATTAAATAATGGATCGGTTAACTTTGAACATGGGCCTTGTTTCTTGCTTAAATTCTTTCTGTCGTCGCCTCCATATATTTAGCACTGAAAAATTTTTACAAATGAACCGGTAGCACACGCAGACTTAATCAAAACAGCATTTGCGTGCCCGCATAACTTACACACAGATCAACACGCAGACAACAGTGTTATGGCTTCTGTGGCGACATTAGGGGCACACCATCGGCGCCACGAGATTCAATTGTCTAGCTGTAAGTTAGTATTTTGGGATTATAGTTACGTAAGGATAAAAAGACTGAAATTTGACTAACCCAGTGTGGCATCCGAATTGTTCACCATAATTGCATTGTCTATATATTTATAAATAAGTTATGCATACTTACTTCACCTTGTTTCAGCAGCTGGATTTTTCAGATCAAGATTTGTACCACCTTTGTGTGTGTTCTTAGCCAGATAAAAGATATACAAGAATAACTGGAGTGATGGACACCAATATAATAGTACAATATATGTCCACCGAACAATTCTACACATACTTCTATGCCTACTTCATGTCATCTTAAATAGGCTGGGAATGTTGCATGAACAGAATGGGAGTACTTTTCATTTGTGATGTCTGATAGTGGGAGTTTTCTTCCTTGCACTTTCCTCCAGATCTTCCTGACAATATTAACATGTAACTCCAGAATAGAGAACCATGAACCATCACGAAGTGTATCAAGATAATCATTCGTCGGATTGAATACGAATCCTCCACATCCTCCAGTTTAGTTGATGGCAGTTAACACGACGATACTGGAATACATTGTTTGAACAAGTTGCAAGAAACTGTTCAAGGCCTAGATGTCTACGATTTAATAAATTTGTAACTTGTTAATTTACCTCCTCTCGTTTCTAAATAAGTGTATGATAATTGATGTAGATATCAAACTAACCTTTTCTTAAGACATCCCCGTAATCTTTCAACATTTTTTGTATTTGGCGACCGCTATGCGAATGTTTGCAGCGTTCGCCATAATGCAGGAATATATATTACAATACAAGGAGACAAAAATCAAATCTCCCTTCCCAAGGATGACGCATTAATCAACAAAGGGTCTAAATGAGCTGATTTTGTATTACTTTCTGTATAAATAATCAAGATGATCTTTCAAAAAAAAAAAAACTCTTTAAATTTAGTTGTTGTCAATCTATTGACTATTGACCCTATGGATGAGACGACTATTGTTTATCTTATCACTGTCCAAAGAAGGAAACTCTGCGCGAACAATGAATTCGGCTATTTGTTATATAGCTGTACTAGGGAAATTTGTTATAAGTGTATCATGGACAGCGGCTACATTTACTATCATTGTCTCACAATAACATATCAAATTCTGTTCATATTTGATGTTGTTTTGAACAGTGTGATTTTAACCAGGTATACATCATTCAACGATACATGTACAGTCAAATCTGTGTTGGTGTGCACACAAAAGAAACAAGGAAACTTAAACTCTCATCGAGTGTTTGCATATGCACTAGCTATGACAAATAAATGCTAAAGGATATATAAGCTGATATATAATATAATTGTATATGTGACACAATTGAACCTATAATAAAAACTACTGTACTATAGCTATGCCGAGATCAGTGAACAGTTTTCGTTTAGCATTTACTAGGGAAGTACTTTATTTTTCATTCCAAACAGTACCGGTTTACTAGTTTCTTTTGTTCCCGACCATGTACGTTCGCTAGGAAAGTATTCTTCCTTCGTTCCAAACAGTACCCCTTTAGTAGTTTCTTTTGTTCCCGACAATCTACGTTTACTAGGAAAGTATTCTTTCTTCGTTCCAAACAGTACCCGTTCACTAGTTTCTTTATCCCCAATATTGTACATTCACGAAGATTTTTTTTAGAACGCGCTTGGTCCCACATGATCCAAGTGGATAAATAGTACGACGTCTCCCTCACTACTTGAACATGGGACACAGTTTTTGATCCGCTGATTCTAACCAACGATTTCCAGTCGATGAGCTATGTAGATGCATGGCTACTCTATTGTACGAGCTAAGCTGCAGTTTCTTGTTTGAATGCAATATGTAGTTTACTATGATATGTATATGAATCAAGTGCAATTTTTACACGTTTTTGTCCATTGTCTTTTGTGTACATGCAAAATGAGTTACAATGTGCAAATCACAATATAGCCTATAGATAAATTTATTTATTATGTTGTTGGTTTGTTTCAGAGGATAAAATGTAAATCAGTAACACACATTCTCACTCCACATCCACCCTATCCATGGGGCCCATTCGGTTTAATGGAAATGGACTAATTAGAGAACCAGGACAATTACTATCATTACTATCTGATATATACTCGACTCCATGAGAGATAATATATACATATTGTGGCTGTGTTAAAATTGACAATATTTTTTTATTTTTTTTTATTTTTCCAGAGTATATTGGACTTTTTTGGTTACCATGAACACATAGGAGAAGTTAGTTGTGTACTTGATGACAACAAGTTAATAATTTCAGACAGTGGAGAGAACCGTGTCACAATAAAGGTACGGTAATGTATCCTCGTTTATTTCCCTTTGCTGACATATTTTATCAGTATTGAGTTGTTGCAGTTTCTAACATGGGTTGCAATTCTGGCCTTGCGGGAATCCATGACTGTGTAAATTACGTGTCTTGTGTTTATCTTCGGACAACCAATTTTTAATTTATTCGGTATGGTAGTTTTTGAATAATTGCGAGAAATTTTTAGAATAGGTAATACAATGTCCCTGACTGCACACATATGGTTATGAAACATGTACGTGCACAGATAAAAATTATGTTTTCAAAGCACGAATGCACAATTTTACACGTGTTGTCTAGATTGTATGGGACCCGAGTCAAACATAATACAGTGCGGCGACTGTGGCATTTTATTCTCTCAGATCTCTTCCTGAAATATAGTTTGATTTATTCATAGAGACCAATGTCTTGTCCAATTCATTGCATCAAATCAGATCAGATTAGTGCTGTACCCGAGTCAGTCCTACAGCGTGGAGTTGATGTTGTAGTATGTACGTTATTGAGAACCAACGACAGAAAGACTCTCCTCGCAAGAAGAGCCCAAGATTTAAGAATCTTTCCTGGTGTGTGGGCCCCTCCTGGTGGACATGTAGAGCTTGGCGAAAGTGTGAGATTTCTTTTCAAAACTACGAAATAATTCTATAAAGCATACAGATCGGTTGCCAATTTTATCAGATGAAAGTTGCTTCCAGGATACAACATGATATATTTTATGCGAATTTGATCTGTGGTACATCGTGGCCATTTCAGGATGTAAACTCGTTCGTACAATTAAATAAATACAACATTAGTATATCAGGCTCACTTTATATTATATTTCAATCGTGTGCATGCGACGCAAAACATAGTATATTGCCTAATATGTTGATTTCAATTATTTCCATGAGATAGTAAATTTAGCATCTTTTGGCATTTTTTTAATTCATTATCATTATCAGCGTCTTTAAATTTCCGCGAATTAACATTATGGCATTTTACAACTGTCAAATAACGGCCAAATAAATACGTGGAATCATTAATTACTAAGGATTTGGCGTAGAATTGGAAATTACTCCAAATAAACACATGTCCAATTCGGGGACAGGATAATAGTACATGTATATTCGGTTATTAGTGAAATAGTAGGGCGCCACCAGATGGTCTGGCTTAGCAAGTGCGTCGTGTTTCTCTTATGAATTCGGCGCTGATTGTGCACAAAGGAACAAAGGAAGGCATTGGATGGCGGCACATCGTGTATGTGGTTAAGAAAGGACGTGGAGATGATCCGTGGTACATCGTGACCAATGATTGGTTGTCCAACTGTGGGCGTGTCTTTTATTTCTGTGCTAAATGTGCAACACGAAAGTCCTGCCATTTATTCTTCATGGTTGTTCGGCCATAGTCGTCTGCGCCAGTATCGCGAGTTCTAAGTTTGGTTTACTATGTTGGTAAAATCGCGCAAATTCGTTTTACCGCCACTTTATAGCGGTTTTCACGCAGACACCAGTTAATTCCGTTACCCAATGGCTGAAGCAATTTCACATCGACCAGACACGTCCCAAAACAGATAACGAGATTTGTCAGGAACGGCCAATGCGCATGCGTATAAAACAGCTGGTCCTAATATCCTAATTTTCTAATTTCCTAATAATTGTAAGGATGATACTACATTTTGAAATGGCCATGATGTACCATGAATCGAATTTATGTCTTGTGTCTTGTCTTATACAACACAGAATGTTACGTGTCAATTATGTTATAAACCTACCAATCCTAAATGCGTATCCGTGCATAAAGCATGTGCATACGTATCGTGCTTATCAATCTCTGTATCGTTATTTCTGAGTTAGTTAATTGAAGCAGCTTTTCGGGAGCTACATGAAGAAACTGGCCTCTTACTGAACCCTGAAGTATGCCCTAGTAAAATGATTGGCTTGTGGGAGGTGAGTTGTTTACTGGAATTAATGTGTGAATATGTTGACGCGTCAGTCATAGTTATGTAAATTTGCAAAAATGTATGTCGTCATGCACCCAATCATTGTTATATCCAATCAGGTTTCAATTGCACTGATATATGTAATTTCGCATTAACCAATCAAATGGTTTTGAACAGTGAATTGTGTCACAAGATGACGATAGACAGACTAGATGCCGAAATAGGATAGGTTTGAATTCTAGCACCAGTTACTAAATATATATCAACGTATAATGTATTATAAATAAAATATGTGCTCTCCTCTAAATCGTTACTTTCGTTATGTTCTTTACTCGTAAATATCCAATATGTTCATCATTTCAGTGTGTCTATCCACCATTTTTATCCAGAGGTCTACCAACACGACATTATATAGTTGTGTATATGAGCACAAGTGTAGACCAATGTCACGATGACCTTGATAAAAATATCCATTTACAACGTAGTGAAGTAGAAGCATCTGCATGGCTGGGTGAGATGACCGTTCAAGCTATTGTCGCTACAGACGGGGAAAGTACATTAAACGCAAACGAATACAATTTACCAGAAAGTTTTATGTTAGTATCATGTTTATCATTGTTATATTGTACTATAAAATAGTATACTAGTATTAGCAACTCCTGTCTCACATTCTGATCCTCGTTACATGTAAAATTAAGTATGTTTTTGTTTTTTGTTTTTTGTATTTTAGTGCCACTGTACTGGGAAACGATTTAAAGCAACACCACAAAGAGTTGGACACTTCTATTTTTTTTGCAAAAGCTCCTTTGTCTGGTAAGGACATTGAAAGCGTCCTTCCATTAACCAAATTTGGTTTATCGCAATGGCTGAAATTCAACAATAACATTACATCTTAACTATTTTAAGTCATCTTCCCATCTGTGGTTCAATACACTCAATGGGCTTGTGGTGATGGTTTGGGTGATGATTGTTGGACACTGTTTTTACAGGCATAATCTTTTCTTTAATCGCCAAGTTGACTCGTTGACCTGAAAATTGAAATTGCTTTGTGTTTATCTCGAAAGTACAAAGAACTAATCCCTTGTATCCATATCATAAGCCCACCATTATAACCGAGGTCTACATGCTAAATTCTTGTCAAAGTCTTGTTAATTTAAGCTAACTATTTCAATCATTGACAATTGTGTAGACAGATAGATTATTACATACCTCGAATATTTGTTACAGCACATTGTCAGACAGATTCCAAACACAATGAATAAATTTATAAGCACATATATTGTTAAATAATCTTATTTACGATGAATAAGTTTTGTAAACTGTGTCATGTTATGAAATGTATTATTGCTATAGTAATTGTTAATATACCACCGTACACAAAAATGTTTAAAACATTCAGTTTTGTCATTTTTTAATAACCGTAATTATAACAGATGTTTATTAAATAATGGGAATAATTGTATTTTGTTTTCAAAGTCTATTTGATTTATATTTAAAGACATTGGTTGTTAAGATGTATACATTACATTAAATGATTGTTATGTTACAAATAACAGGTTATAACTCACTAATTTGTCTGGTTTACTGAATAAATAACGAAATATATACGAAATATATCACAACTATGTCACCAGGGTGATAAAAGTTATAAAAGTTTTTATGTGGGGCTGACAGTATGTTCTCAAGAAATGATTATGATGATCATACCCGGCTGGGTATTCGAGTGATTTGTAAAATGGATGATCACTGTTACCACCCTTATTATTTCAGGTTTTCAGCGAATTTGTTGGAGACTAATTGTTGGTCAATATACATTGCATTCAAGTTGGAATCTAAGTCGGTTAACTTCTCATACATGTATTTATCATTCGAGCCAGTTGCATTAAATTCTCAACTTGTCGTCTCTCATTATAGCAATGTATGTTTAGAGTTTACGTACACTATACAGTTGGTTATAATATTGTGAATGAGGTCGGGAAAAAATGCCTGTCAAAAAACAACTGAGATACAAACTACGGACGCTATCAAAACGTTAGGTAAACTGACTCAACATAGTTGATATCAGTGCGATCTGAGATAATGGTTCCCCATAGTGAAGTGATTGAAATGTATGAACCCATCAGTTGCTACGTTGGCGATATGACGGTGCATAAATATTCACATGCAATATGTTGTGACTTGATGTAGACTCGGATGTGGTTCGAGTGCACCATAATTTATGTGGTTTCACATAATTACTTACAAGAAACATATCATTTACATCTGTCATCGACGTTCAGTTCATGTCATAATATTCGTGACACCGGAATACGGCTTAGAATAAAGGCTTCAATTAATGAATAAACTGATACACTGACTTCTACATTTATGTTACGGTCTCCATGAACTCGTTTGTTTATATTACATTAAATCACTAAATGTGACGTGTATGCTACAAAGAAAGAATAAATTTCGATAACATTGAGTTGTGTGGAGAATTGTTGAATTATTGTTTGCAGAACTTCGTCTTGATAACATTATTATGATGTTACGTATCATATTATAAAACTATTGTTTCATTCTATCAGGTGAAGCAGTTACCTAAAGAGTGAAATCCAAAAGCAATAGTTACCATGAATTTTACGCTGACACTGTGGTGATATGGGTTTTTGATCTGCCCTGTCATGCGCCACACTGTACAGCTTATTATTCCATACTATATACGTGCAATACATCACACGAATAATATCAAACAAAATTAAATACGTTTTGGAATATTACACACAAAGTTGACAACATTGCCCATTTAAATAGGAATTGCACAGTATCGATAAGAGTACAAGGTTAAGAATAACCATTGCGTCAATTAGTATTAATGGTGGGGATAATGACTAGAAACCTTATCTGGGTATCTTGTAAATTTGAATATTCAGGACCACGGACAATTGGTATACCTTGGAATGTGACAGCGGAATGTGGCGCATAATACATTCTGCCTCTATTACCAAAATGCTATAATGAATAACTTTTTCACGGCGTAAAATGTACACCCAGCTACCGACTAGATTTTCTTTTTTGTCGTCTGTTTTGTATTATACGAGCCATTTCGCCATATAAATAGCGATTGTTTTTAAAAATAATGCTCTTTGTTAATTTCTGTCCATACAATAATGATTTATTTGGTTGGGTTTGATTTTAAAAGGATAGTTTTTATCTGAATGTACACCCTTTTCAAAAACGAATCTCATTTGCCGTCACAGTCACCCTTGTAAAATTGTAAAATTATTATATTAAAATTATTACTAACAGTATGTTTGTGTTTCTTAGTGTCAGGAATGGGAATTTAAATATATAAAAAAAATCTAAAGGGTAATTCGTGAGTAACACTTATTTCAGTTGAATCTTCGGTTAATCTGAAACCGGGAAACTGTTCTGTTTCACTTGTATTGTTGCTAAGTAACCAGAGAAATTGCATCTCGTGTGTTAGTATAGAGCTTCTTATTGATTAGTGTATTTATCTGCGATATGTGGATGCATTTTTTAATATTCAATAGAATTGAATAATGCGTTTCACGTTGTTCACACAATTAGCCTGTGATCGTTTGCAACACATTTTTATATCGTTACAAATAAGCGTATCATATCAGCGTATCAAATAATTAATTTAGTGTCCTAGTCGTCTCCTAGCAACCCGCTTAGCCGTGTACTTGATGTGTCTGGTTCTTATGTAGAATACACCGCTGGCATTGAATATTTTTTACATTATTGAATTGGTACATCAGTATCAGGTTATTTTAACAGTGAGTATCACTTACTAGACCATATTATTTACGACAGCAACCAGGGAATTCTTTTTATCCAATTGCTTTAGTGAATCACTCAGAAACTGTAATGTGACAACATCTGCATATTTTCAAAGCTTAAACATAGAATAACATATTTACTGTGTCTGTAATATTTATACGAGTATGCATATAACGAAACCTACATATTCCACTAGGCAAACTGTGTTACAAAACGTATATGTACTATGTGTTTTCCTATACCAAAGCTTTTGGGACATCGCCATGACAGTTTCGATTTGATTATAGTTAAAATCGATTTCCGATTGCCCTCGGTTACTACCTTAATTGAAATTGCAAACAGTATTGAAAGACTGAAATAACGTTAAATATTTGTTTGTATTTGTTGAATTCATAACATTGTTTTCGTCGTGTATGCAATCTAATAATCTATTCAATTCAAAATAAAGAAAAATGCAAATACACATACTATTTAAATTAATAGTACGTACTGTTACTTCTCCATATAGTTCAGTTATTTACTAGTAATATAAGGTGCATATAATACGAAGACGGTACAGCGATCATATCGACCAATGCGTAGCGGAGATCGACGCGAGGCGTTCCCGTACCGTCTGGCGTAAAACTGTGGAGGAGCGTGACAACGATCAAAGAGACCAACATTTAACGATTTAACTTTATATATCCACGATTTTCGTTTGCCGTCGACGTCTCAGTTCAGAAAAAAGTACCTCCGACATTCACCTTTCCGGGTCAGGAAAAACGTGTAAGGTTTCAGCATACCTTTTCATCTCACGTGTTATCCTTACAGCATCGTTGTAATGTTAACATGATCCAGACAGATGTCACGTTGACATATCATCTTCAGTCTAGTATGGTGCGATGTGATGTGAAAAGGTTGGTAACTCGAAAACAAATATGTCAGCCTATTGCGCATGCTGGCGTCATATTTATAAATGTTTTAAAATTCTAATGAAAGGAAGCACAATAGGAAATGATTTTATTCAATATTATGGCCGTGACGTTTAGAAGCAATGAAGACGAGCCATCAATTCGGGTGGTATCTAAGCAACGAGATATCCGCATCGTAGTTTTCTATTGACTGCCTTTACTATGAAAATAAGAAGCAATTTGACAATTCTCTTCTTGACGATGCCACCATGAAAATCGTAATGAAACAATTCACTCATTGGAATATAGTTATAAGCATTGTGACTATGGCCCATCTCTCGTGTTTATTACATGTGCTTTTATAATTAGTACATACTTTTATAATTATAACTAAGGTCATATTGTGGTTTTAAAACCATGCTTGAACCAAAAATGATATTTTTTGTAGTCACAGAGGCTAAACACAGACATGCTCTAGCACGTATTCGCTGTTCCAGTCATAGATTGCGCATTGAAGAGGGACGCTATACAGGGTTGGAAATTGATGAAAGAATATGTGAGTATTGTTCATCTAATGTAGAGGACGAGTACCATTTTGTTCTTGTTTGCCTATTATTTCCCTTATGAGGAGTATTTTGGCATTTCCCAATTCAGAAAAAATATTACAGTCTAATGCGCTCAAAATCTGAAAAGGTACTACGTAATCTTGGGTAAATTTCTACATAAAGCATTTAAGCTTAGAAGGAAGTTTTCGTTACTCTCGGTATAATAATATATATATGTACATTCTCCAGTGCTTATGTATTCTTTTGTTTATCTGTTATGTATAGTCATATGGGCCTGTGGCCTAAAAGACAAAAAAAATTAATATTTCAATAATTAGTACACGCTTGTTAAAAGTTGTCATGACAAAATCACTTTGTATAAAACATATATACATATGCGGGGTCGCAACTTATATATAAACATTGATGCATATGGAGGCTTTAGAGGCACGAGTAAGAAATTTATCTGTACGACTGCAAGCAAACATCAAGAACGATGATCGGTGGGTGATGTCCCTTTATTAACGTAATATGGGGACAATTACATGACAAATTACAAAAAGGGGAATATTTCTTCATCAATATGTTATATAACAGATGTGAACTCGTTGCCAGTGTATCACTAATAAAATACAATATAGTGGGTTTGTATAGAAAAACTATATCAGTTTACATTCATGTAATTATAAGTTGTCTTAAAGACGGGACTAATTCGCCCGTTTCCGCCTAAGAATAAACTATTGTACTGTCTAAAGACACGTCACAATACGTTTCCAATAATACACCAAATTCAACCTGCGGGGATATACAATGGCAGATCATTAACTTCTTTTGTTGTCGGCGGCGGCGGTGCAATTCACAGTAATAACAACTTCGTAAAACAACAAATCAGTAGACATTATGATACTGCACTTGCTTAATTAGTGTTTGAAGCGCATATTATATATATAAATATATAAATACACTTGTGTGAAATGGGCCCGTGTTGTGTAATTACCTTTTCCCTGCCAACGCATTCGTGTTGCTCGCTCTATATATAATCAACAACGGTTATGCGCGACGCAATGACAGATCTGGTGGCAGATCAACAATGATATAATAACATAAACCACATTCTAAATCGCGTAACAGCGGCAATTGTGGTATTAGAGTCTTTTTATCATGATGTGGAAAAAAATAAAAAATGAAGAAAAAAAACATATCATATTTTGAATAGTTTAGTAGTCATATTTTGAATACTGTAATAATACTTGTTCGATATTGCATATTTATATAATATTGTTTCATGTTTTATCGAAATATATTTTGATGACATAATCAGATGCGCTTGCACATTGAATGAGTGCTTGTGCTATAAGTAAATCTTAGTCTAAATAAAATTATAATTCGAAAATTCTAATATTTTGTCAATGCTGCATCTTCAACTGAGTGACATTGACGGCTCGATGATGATAATCGTCTGAAGACGAACGCGTGATATCTAATATCACAGAGGCAATGACGAAGGCGGGAAAAAGATAACTAATTGGCAGTTTTCTTCACAGATTACACTCAACGAGTGCACGATATATTTTGAATTATTGTGAAGATTACATTATCGTTACAGACAAGCTTAGACTAAAATTGTCTAAATTAAGATCCGCCCTGTACAGTTTGTATGTGGAATGAACACTATAAGAACACACTTCAACACATTACGAAATAAAACTTCACTCCGGTTGCTGTGGCAACGATGACTTCACTCCAGGCACTGTGAATGCTTGACATATGACGTCATCTCCACTCGATCAAATCATTCCCATTTCTCGTAGATTTATGACAAAGGGATCTTCACCATTCTCACCGGAATCCTGAAAGTAAAGTCATAGCGTTTAAAAGAGAATCAACCAATTCCTGGGATTGTGCCGAGGAATTGTGGGATACGATTACATGTTCTTTTCTTATATAATTTGAGTACGCTTAGTAAGTACGCTATGAGATCAGAAATATGGTGTTAATTTCCGGGTGTGAATTATAGAATAATGGGATGTTATCCATGTTGTTCTTTAATGCTGTAACCTTAGGTTTAGATCTGGGTATCCCTGTTAGCAGCCGAGTACTCAAGTTCAACAATGAATAAAGGTGACAATACAACATTTTCACTGGGCCTTCTGATTTGACGAGAGACAGTGTGATCCATACATTAATACTCCGACAGGAAAGTGTACATGTTACATTGCTGACTACTTGTGGCTATCGCGTATTTCGATGTGACTGTAATCGAATTAGTTTTGTTCCTGTTAATTTCTCTTACTGTCGGATTACAAGTTGATAACAAGTTTCAAGTGACACCTGCATGTATTATCATTAATATATCACTGAGTAAACGTAGCCAAAAGTATTCGTGAGCAAACGCTGAAAAAGAAATCTCGGAATATGTATCGCCCTTTCGTTTTAATTTTATCTGCGTCATAGCGACCACCACGTGAAATGGACCCCAATTGTGATTTAAATTAGGTAACGGCGTGCCCATCACTGCCACTAGGTTGTGTATCACGGTGAAATGGATGGTACGATACTATTGAACTAGTAATTATAAATTACTAATACTAATACTTTTTCATCTTATCCCTCTTCCAGACTCATAAAAATGGATTCGTATCATGGCCATATGAGAAGTAGTTTGCGACTTGTGTTTATTTTGTTTCCACTGAGCAATTTCCCAATGGTTTTGGTTTATATACGGATGATTCTTTGATAACTGTCGACCCGAATGCAATAATTATGACTAGCACACAGGTGGAGTAAAACGATGCTTAAAGTACAGAATTAGTATAATAATTTATTCTTTTAGACACGACACAACTATAATAATATATAACCGACTTATATAATATAATATGTAACCACACGAGGCTATAAATTTTTAAAATCATGCAATGATAGATTTAAGCTTTGAAAAAAAAGATGAACACAAATAGTTAAGAAATCATCTTCGCTAGCAAAGATCTGTTATTTCAAATTGGCTGATTCAGCCATACCTCACGATAAATTTGCACTGAGTTCGCGAAGACGAACGATTCTGACTCGGGAGGTGCTCGGTAAGATATTAATACAAGTAACTTAAATTGTTGTTGTCATAGTATCCGTCACTTGATCAGTGTATTTTATAAAACAAAATGTTATAACAGTCTGAGGTAAATTAAACAAAAAATTATCGAATACAGAGACACGTATGTTGTAAATATATTGATTCGCTCTGAGATAAGTCTTATTTTTAGTAATGATTGTATTAGCCTTACTGGTTTGTGCTCTATCATGATGCACACGTGGGTGTTTCGAATCACATGTACGTATTGAAAATTCAAAGTGGATGTGTATTGTTGTTTTGGTTTTTGTTCTGAAAATATGATAATTACAGGTAGTTTCAACATGCGATGACGTAAAAGATGTAACAAACTATTAAGCGCAACGCTCAAAATGTTCAATATATTACGTAACCTCTAGATTGCAATAATGAAGAAGATATTAATCTCCGCATTTCTTGGTTTAGAGGTGAATCCATCTATTATGTTACCACACTTGTTTCAAGGATATTGTAGTATATAGCCTAGAGTATTATGTGTTTTCGTGAACAAACAACATCGGTGTACAACAGCGCAACTTCGGGGGCTCCCTCTCAATAACAACCGCACGCACACAAAAAGACAGTTGAAAGAATGAGAACATGGAAAAGTATTCAGGAAAACAATATCTCTGAGATAAAAGAGGCAACCAATCACATGACGCCTCGTGTTGATAAACATGTCTTTCTTCAAATATCAATCTTTTCACATTTACCGGGTAATGTTGTATATGACTAACACAAATTCTATGTTGGATCTTTGTAAACTCCTGCCTATTTAATACGACTCGTATATATTCCCATTCAGATTTGGAGTTGGGTATGACAAAAGATACCTGAAAATGCTGATCTTACCTGTGTATTAGACATCGAATATTCCTTTTCTTTTTTGTATTTTGTACTTATAACTGAACGGATAGCGAGGACGACACACACCAACATCATAATAGTCATACACGCTGCGGCGCCAATAATAGTTATATCGTCATACGTCGTGTCAGCGAGCTCTCTTGCCGTCACCATCTTTACCTGCTCTGTGGTAGCATACACGGCTGTAGTGGCATTACTGAGAGTCGGCACACTGGCAGCAATCGCATTGTAATTCGCTTCAAAAAACAACTTCATGGTGAGACAGTATTTTCGATTCGCGTGTGTACTAGGAAGTGTTGCTTTGTCGGCACGTTTCGAATAACACTGAAGATGGTTCACTGTAATACGGACATACGACGCATTAATCCATCTGCGCATGCGTCTTTTCAAATTATGATAATTGTCATTCGCACAGAAGCAAAACATGTTACGTAACACAGATGTCAGCGATCTCATTCATGGGTGCTTCTTTTTAGAGTATTATAATTGTAGACCAATCAAAATGTTGCAGTTGTTATAATCATGCCATTATCAAAGACATGTACGTGCGTTTCAATGAACAAAACTGTCCACGAACCTAAATTAACCCCCCCCCCCCTAACATCATTGTTAATACGACTGCTTCGAGGCAAACGAATGCATCTTTCAATTAAAAAAAGCCATTGTGCTCCCTGTGCCAATATATATACTTGTGGAATATTATTTATTGCTGTTATGTGGACAAATAAAAATGTCGAAAATTACATTTACATAAACTAGTGTAACAGTCAAAGTCCATCGCTTTTTGCGACGATGTTTCCTTCATACCACTCCATCATAAGTACGCCGCGGCGGCTCAAACCCACCAGCACGTGAACGTAGAATATTGTGCATTACGTATCAAACCAATACATACGTCCAAGTAATGAAATTTAGAACTTGCGGTGGATCCCATTCCGACCAATTTTCGTTGTACAGTTGATGCACAGACACGGTTTACAAATTGAATTCGCCTTCTAAACCTTGCCCAGATTATGTTAATGTACGACCGGGAGTACGGTTTGTTATGAATGACCCGCTTTATTTATTTAAAAAAAGTGCATCGTGTAATATGTCGTATTTCAACTGCTAGAATCGTTCTCAATGATAAGCAAAGTCGCCATTCAATTAAAAATAGATCGAAGAGTTCTGTCTGTATCGCGGTAGGATAAACGTATTTTGCCGTATGTGGATTGAGTATTTACTGTTCTAATCTGTTTTTAACAAATAGTTATATTTAATAATGATCAACATTATATAGTTTTTTTTTATTTCGCCCTTAATCTGTTCATTCAGTCGGTGTTGGAATCAGTGTACTAATTAAGATTAAAACTAGCGTCAGAGGGTAATGTCTGATTGCCTCATTAAACTGAAAATTAATCATAAGCCGTATACGGAGTATTATTATTCTGTTCGTATTGTCAGCTCGATTTCAATATTAATTGGCCTTAATTCTAATTATGGTTTTTGACATTTTACTCGTTCACCAATTCAGTACTTTGGCGTCTACCAATTGGCTCGTCCACTAATGCTGTACTGTGCCGCACACTCGTCCACCAATCCAGCTTGTGGCGTCCAATCGTCTTCCAAAACCGTTACTGTGGCGTTCACTCGTCCACCAATTCAGAACTATGCCAGGCCACCAAACCGTTACGGTGTCTACCAAGCCAGTACTTTGGCGATTAAACTGGGCGTTGCTTTAGTAAACGGATACAAAGGACAAGGTACCCAAAATGACTTTCATAAAAACACAGCCCGTGGTTGTGCTCCTATGACGAATCTATCTTTGATCTGATAGTTTGATTGTAGTTCCTTCCCAATTACAAAATACTAGTAGTCTCTTTTCTCAGCGGCAAAAAGCCGGACTAGCGCCCAGTCTTCTTCTGAATCAACAAAGCGATGGGACGACTACTTCTGACTTACCTAAGCAGACGAGCTATGAATGATGTAACATATGTCCGTATTAACATGTACCACATTTTTTTCTTCGGCTCATTACTTCATTTCTCGTCTACACAAACAAACTAGCACACGTAAGGGGCAGTGTTCACGCTATACAATATGTTTAAACAGCAACCAGTACTGAAATGGTTCAGGGGTTACTAGAAATTGCGGCATCGTCCATTTCTGTAAATGGGATACGATTTTAAAAATAAACCAATAATCATGAATACATCTGTGTTGTATCACGTCAGTTCAGTTATTGAAAACTGTGAGAACATTTCAAGTAATATCGTGGTTTAAAGAGCGGTAGTCGTCGCGCCACGCATGCGCAAGATATATGGGTCTCATACAAACAAAGATGGCGACTTTGACTGTTGCGCAGATCAACGAGTACAAACTGGGACGATTCCAAGCTTTAATTAGAAACTTTTTAGGTGATTGGAAGGTATCGAAGGAGTCGGTGCCCAGGTCCAACCTCATACTTGTGATTTCCATTTGAAGAGCGCATTGGATTGTGGGAAAATCAATGTTCATCAACACAGGTGTCGCACATGCGCAGTGCGACGACCACCGAGGTTTCTTGCTTTATATTAACGTCAGCCAAATTGTGAAGGTGTGGTACTAGACGCAACGTCGCCATGGTCCCTACTTGTAATTCGGAACAAGTAGACAAATCATTAATTATTTCTCGCAGTTCACGCAAATTCAGTCCATCACATTTATCAGATAAATGCAATTAGAAAGCAGTTTTGTACAAAAAAAAATATTAATCTCAAAACTAGGTATGTTGTCTGGAAATGGACATATCTGAATGGAACCAACCAATTACACTATAAATCGATTAAATATATTGCGTATTGTATACAAACACAGTGTTCAAGATTAATGCATGGTGAACGCATTTCAAGCATTTTTCTTCTAGCCTATTCGATGCATGCATGGATTGACTTTGTTCAAATTTGGTGTATACATAACATATATCCACGATTACGCATTACCATTAATTTATAAATCAACAGGTTTCTTTGACTTGCTAGTATACTTATGCGGTTTTCATCAATTCTCTTTTTCACACCAAACGCAGATGAAATAAATAAAAATACGGTCAGTGAACTAGTATGCATCCAAAAGATTTCAAACATTCGTGAAATTATAATTTTTGCGCAATTTGCTATGGCAACACAGAATAATCATATCCGAAAATTTTGTTCAGTAACACATACTGAAAACATCCTGTAATTTATAGGGTGTTTTCAGTGAATATCAATTGAAACAGGTTCAAAAATGTTCATTTCTATTGGATATAAAAAAATGATGATTTGTGTTCAAAATTAATGTATGTAACGTTTTAAAAACAAAAATAGTCTGAAAATATTTAGCCCCTGTTTACTTAATATTTGAAATGCCCGAGAACACATGTTTTCTCAGTCTCAATTTAATAATAATTATGCGAGGTTTAATATTATAAAACCACGAATATTCAAACATGAAACGACAATTAATTATTCATAATGCGTACCGTTCCTATGGTAACCTAAGACAAAGGTTCACTTGTCTTTTGTTCGCCATTCGCCTCTGGTCGAGTGGTGCAGCGCTATTGAACGTTTCATGCGTGCTAGGTATATTACGTAACCGTTAAATTGACTTCTTTCAAATGAAATCTACTCCTGAAAGGACGATAATGACTATTTCTTCCAGATTATTCCCTCCATGCCCAGACAACAGATTAGATCGCGAGGGTCAGACGAATTAACCTTTGTATCAAACATATAGTATCAAACCTGTTTTTCTTAATAGCAGTAATGCTGAATATCAACTGTTTACAGGATTAGTCTTTTCATATTCCTTGTAATAATTTCTAATAATTCTAATATCTATGTCAGTGTTACTGAAAAACGTGCGTTTCACACACACAAATAAGAAAATAAAAAAACATGTCAGAATGAGACACATTCAAGTTCTGACGTATTCAAGTTGTACGACGTGAATTTAATTCAATTTTCTATATTTTATTTCAAATTGTTTTCAACTAAAAAACGCTTAAATCTCCCCCAGAAGGAATTAAAATCGTTACATAATAAAAACACACACTAACAGTCACAACAATGCACAATAATTACCAAAAAAAGGAAAATACAGAATTCAAGATATAACGCTTAAGGTAGAGATGCGGATTCGTGGTCACTTGGGAGTGATTTTTTTTTTTTTTTTGCTTTTTATTACCCAAACAGTCTTGGCTATAGACTGTTAAAATTTTGAATTGTGAATAGCGTAACAAACTCAAAAGACTATTTTAAAATATAGATAACAGGTGCAAACAAATGAATGCTTAGCAAGATTTAGCAAGGCTGTACATAAATAATAAAAAATAAACATGGTGAAAAAAGAAATGACGGGATCTCCATATTATGCACTATATTTAACTTTTTACAAAATGATAATAAATTTAAATTTGGAACTGTTTACAGCCATTTTAATTATGAGCATTAGCAACCTCTTACTGAGTGAATAGCAATTATCTCAGCTTCTTTTTAGTGCACTTCCCAGAACTTTCAAAAAAATACCTCTTAGACGCTTTGACCTTTTGTTTTGAAATTTTCACAAATGATTGACAATGTGTTTATCTTCAAACCGCCGTCGGGGCGTTGTTTTTTGTTGAACAGTGTTACAACAATCGTACAGACAACTAGCAAAAGGACAATTTACAGCAAGTCTCAGAAGTATTGGGGCAGCCAATTTGCAAACTCGCTAGCGAATTGGCTAACTGCTTGGGTTTTGACTAAACAGTTGGCTTTCGAATCTTCTGGCGCCGACGCTTGGTCGCGTCCACTCTGGGCGAGTCTATATCGCATTAGGGAACATAATATGCTTTTACGTAGCCTGGAACATGTCTGGATTCCCCTGAATGGTTTGCTTTGCGGGGCCTGGGAATGGCTAGAGTTAGCTGGCGTACAAGTGATAATATGATAAATGCGATTACAACACCGATATTTACTATATGGGGGTAGCCATCTTGAACACTGATTGAAACTAAATAAAGAGACAAGTTGAGAAATGGTAAGGATTTGCCGAATGGTAAGGATTACCACGTATTAGAATATTACGAACGCCTTCGGCAGCACTCGGTGATTTTCGTGACAGTTCGATTTTCATGCGCTAAATTAAAACCCAGTGATTATGTAAAATTTCGCATAGAATATCTAAATGATAAAACCGTGATAAAACTCGCTGAAAACCCAGTGAAAATTAGTCATTTTACAGTATGACGACGATCGATAACATGCACGAGTTTGACTACGATGTTGAAACTGCTATTTTTTCTCAAATTGTCATTTTGAATC